CTTCTCTGTGGAGACAGGAAGAGTTCTCATCTCCTAAGAATTGAGGAGATAAACCCTGAAAGGAAAAGGAAACATTCTGTGGCTCACTCCCAGCCTCCAGATAAAGTGCACAAGAATCAAGCAGAATACGGATATTGGGGAAAAGTGGGAATTCTGAATCAGCAGAAAACAAGCACCCCTAATTTTACCCTCTCCTGTTCAGTTAAAAGGGATGGAAGCTAAGCCATATGGTAGCTAGGTGGTACAGTGGATAGGGCACTGGGCCTGAAGTCAAGAAGACCTGAGTTCAACTCTAGCATCAGATACTTCCAAGCTATGTGACCCCAGGCAAGTCACTTAAACTTCTGCTTGCCTCAGTTTCCCTGACCGTAAACCTCTCAGGATGACCTACATCTCAGGATTGTTATGAGGATCAAATGAAAAGATATTTGTAAAAGCACTTAGCACAGTGCCTGGCACATAGTATGTACTTAACAAATGCTTCCTGCCATCCCACCCCCTGAGTGCCTGACTCAGTTTCTTGTTTGTCTCAACAACTCATTTTGGGCCATGAATGGAGGTGGGGGCACCCCACTTCAGAGTCTCACCAGCTGTACAAAAGCTCCTTGGTTTTTGTTAGCCCTACTATGACTACCACTGACTGCCTGCTGGGTGCTCAGGTCATTCCCAATTCAAGTTCACACAGCAGACAGAAGTGACTCAGAGAGAAATGGGGAAAGTTATGAGGTCACGAAGCAAGGCAAGTTACAAGTTTGTTGGTGTTTTTTAGGGCTTCCCTTCAAAGATGGTCAAGTTCATCTGCCATTTCCTCCTGGGGTCTGCAATGTTTGAATTGAATCAAGGAGGGCAGAGCAGCCCAGCAGATAAGCACCTTGTGGGTCTCCCAGAAGTATCTTTGATATGGATGCTAGGATTCAGGATTCCTGGGTTCTCCCATCACTGGGTATGGTACCAGCCCAGGACAGAGGACCTTTTAAAAGATGCTTTTCCAGGGCCACAGCAACACCATATCACACAGTAGATAAATGTGCTATCAGCTATTATTATGGTTACAGGGATTGTTACTTAGAAGGAAGTGGGCGTGGTAATGCTCACTAGGATACAGCTGGGCAATGGATGGATTTCTATGTCCAACGATTCCTTTCCAGGAATATGGCCTCATTAATACTCCATCAGGAGCCCCGTGCAAGGGACTGTGGTTAATGCCAAGGCTGTCTGTCCCCTCTACCCCACACTGCTCCTAGGCCAAGCGCAGAATAGCATCAACTTCTCTCAGGCTCACATTTAAGGGATTTCTCTCAGGACGAAGGGCCTAAAAGCAAACAGTCACAGCATTCTACCCATCACATCAACCCCCAAACCTAGAGAATTCAAGTGATCAGAAGTGGAAAGGACCTTGGAGATCATTTTGTCCAAGCTCCTCATTTTTTCTTTCAAGTCCTTCATTTCAAAGATAAGGAACTGAGGCCCAGAGACCTGCCCAAGGTCACTGAGGCTAACCAACACAATAGAAAGCAGGATCTACTTCTCTGGCTCCTAACGCAACTCTCTTTCTACTACGTGATGTTATTATACAACTTTCATTTTGCGGTATCTGCAGACAATTTATTGTTAGAAATCCTATGCACACTTTAGATTTGTCCCCTAGGTGCTCACTGCTTGCAAGCAAAAACAAACACTAGACCAAATTCACCAGCAATCTCAAACCACTTGGCCCATTCACGGTAGGAACAGGCCTCTCTGGTTACCACCCTTTGTGTCCCCAAGAAAACAGTCACTAACTCTCTTCGAAAATTTGACTCCCCCTACTTAGGCTTCCTGTCCCCCAGTCTGCAATAGTCAAAGGTCCCTGAATGACCCCGGGCTCTAAGCAGGAGGTCCTGAACTATAGATCTGGGGAGGGAAGCGTGGGCTGCTGGGTCCCTGAAGGCGAAGGCCAGGGTGGGCTGTCAGGTCTACAGATCACCATGCCCAAGGGTATTCCCACTGCTGACCTGGAAGATGAGGAATGCTGTGGCCCAAGCGCGGGGAGAACTGGGTGGGGAAGGGGCAGAGGTTATTTCTAGAGCATCTGGGAACACAAGAGTAAACTCATGTGACTCTCTAGAGGCCTGCCTGCTCTTCTTCCCATTCCCCGCCCACCCCAGGCCTGATGTGATGACATCTGTCTCCGAGGATCCAGATCACAGACCCCGAAATGCTGACACTTCTTATTAGCCTTGTCATTTACCAGATTGGGGAACTTGACCGGCAGGTCAGGGGGAAGTCACCTAGGACCCCGCAGGTCCCTGGGGGGGGTCTTTTGACCCCCCCCGCATCGAATCGGCACCCCCAGCCAACCCCGGCACCCCCGAATCCTGGGGCCGAGTCCCTGGGGAAGGGGGTGCCGTTGGGGGCCGCCACGAGCCCCCCGCTGGGATTGGCTCGGGGCTCGGCTTCTGCCGGGGGATGCAGGCCGTACAGGCCGCAGCCATTACTGCAGCCTCAGCTCACACACCCAGCGAGCGCATCCTCCCCTTTGGGGAGAGGCTTAACCCTTTCCTCGCCCGCCTCCCGGCCTCCAGCCCGGCTCCAGGACGCTGCTGCTGCTGCTGCCGGGACCCTCTCTGGGAGGGCATCGAGTCCTGGAGCCCCTGTCCCCCCAGATGTCCCCCCAGCAGTGCTTCGCGGCACCCCTCCCGCAACCAGTCACGCGGGTCGGAGGAAGTAGCCTCTCGACTCCCCCCTCCCCGCGGGGCCCCACGAGGATGACATCTCCCCCTCCCCCACTCGGGGCTGTTCTTCCTCTTCCGGCTGGGAGGGGTTGCCCCCCCGTGGGGCTCACTAAGAACCCCCCCCCCCCAGCCCTGCCGGGAGAGGACCCGGCGGCTTTCGCCGCATCATGCCCCCCCACCACCCCCAGAGGGCGGAGGGCCCCCAGCCGCGTACCGCGATCACGTTGACGAAGGTGGTCTTGCCCGAGTACTGCAGCCCCACGAGCGTGAGCTCCATCTCCTCCTTCCAGAACAGGGCCTTGAACCAGTCCAGCAGCTTGTTGAACAAAGCGATCATGGTGGCGGCTCCAGCCGCGGGCCCCGCCCGCACGCCCGCCCCTGCGCCGCGCTCTGCTCCGGGCCCGAGCCGGGCCGCCCGCCTGCCCGCCCGCCCGGCCCGCCACGGGGGACCCGGCGGCTCGGCTGCAGCCGCCCCGGCCCGCCCGGCGCCGCCCGTCCGTCAGTCCGCGGCAGCGGCCCGGCCGCTCGCTCTGTCTGTCCGTCTGTGCAGCGGGCGCCCGCCGAGCAGCCCCGCCCGCCCGCGTGTCCGTCCGTCCGTCCGTCTGCCTGCCCGCGCGGCCCTGGAGCTGCTGCCGCCTGCACACTCGCCTGTCCGCCTGCCCGCCCGGCCCTCCGAGCAGCCCCGGCAGCAGCAGCAGCAGCGGCAGCGGCAGCAGCTCCCTCTCCGCTCCCCGCCCGCCGATGGGTGTGGCCTCAGAGCCCTCCCCCTCCCGCCGCCGCTGCTGCTTGCCTTTCCTCGCTCCTCCTCCCGGCCCTCCTCCCCCTCCCCTGGCCCTCCTCCTCCTGCTGCTCTCCTTCTCTCCTCCCCCTCCGGTCCCTCCTGCTGCTGCTGCTCACCTTCTCTCCCATCCTTCCTCCCCGCCCTCCTCCCCCTCCCCTGTCACTCCTCCTACTGCTGCTCTCCTCTCCCATCCTTCCTCTCATCCCTCCTCCTTTCTTGTCCTCCTTCCTGCTGCTCTCCTTTCTTCCTATCCATCCTCCCATCCCTCCTCCCCCTCCCCATGTCCTCCACTTTCCACCACTGCTGACCTTGTTTCTTTCCTCTACTCCTCCTCCCCTTCCTTCTCTTCCCATCCTTCTCCCCCTCATCCTGCAGCTGCTGCTATCCCTCTTTCTTCTGATCCTCCTCTGATCCTTCTCTAATCCCTTCTCCCCCTTCCTCCTCCTGCCCTCCTTTCCTCCCATCCCTAGACCTCTTCCTCTTCCTCCTCCAGCTCCCCTTTCTTCCCCCTCTCTGCACAGGCCCTGCACCCCACCCCACCCCACTTCCAGCCTTGGGTATGAACCTCAGGTAAAGGGGGAGGGGGAAAGAGTACTGGGAAAAAGGAGAAAACCAGACTATGTAAACTGGGGATGAGGGTGGGCAGCTGGGGGAATGTATCTTGGAGGAAGCATTTTAGAGAAATAGGCCTATCCTCCCATTATTATCAGCGCCATCTCGTATCTATCTCCTTCATCCTAGTTTTTAGTCACTGGAAATAATCATTGCTGACATTTTGTGCCACTTTTTTATTGGCATACAGTAGGCACCTTGAAAGGCTCATTGTGAGACAGTTTGTCTCACTTGTATTGACACACAGTAGGTACCTTAAAGGCTAATGAGACAATTGTCTCACATTGTATTGGCACACAGTTAGGAACTTTAATAAAGGCTTGTTGTTTTCATTAATAGATAGCACTTTAAATTTTTCAAGGCCAAAGGGGATTAATAATAGCACCTCCCTCCCAGGGTTGTTGTGAGGATAAAATGAGATAATTCATAACCTCTTTGCGAAACTTAAAGCACTATATAAGGGCTAGCAGTCATTATTACTATAATTATTAGTTGACCCTTCCCATAGTACAATGAAGTAATCAATCGATCAACATATATTAAGAGCCTACTATGTACCAGGCACTGTACAAAGCATTAAGGCGAGGACTTTAATTACAGTATTACTCTTATTTTACAGATGAGGAAACTGAGGGTCAGAGAGGTTACATGCTTAGCTCTAGCATTTAGCAGCACCTGGCACATAGTAGGAGCTTAATAAATGCTTGTTGATTTAATGATTTGTCCCTGGTTACATGGATAGTAAGTGTCAGAGGTCAGATTTGAACTCAGGTCTTCCTGACATCTAAAGATGTCTTTGCATTATGCCATGTTGGGTTTTTTTGTGCAGAGAAAAGGTTGAGGTCAAAAGGGATGAGGGGAGGAGGGTAAGAAGGGTCTTCCAATCACCTTAATCAACACACAAACCACTTGTTCTGTTGTCCCTCACCCCTATCCCCAGGAAGGGCAGCCAAGGTTCTTCTTTCCATCTTGGATGGCCTCACTGAGTCACATCTGAGAATGTTTACAAAATTAGCTCACTTGATCTGATGATGGTTGAGGTCAGCCATTCAGGGAAGCTTTGGAGTGTGTGTTAGTGTGTGTGAGGAGCAGGGAGGAGGAATAGTGGGGGGAAGGCGGCAGCGCCATAATATACTGAAGGAGACTTGAATTTGGCGTCACTGGGCCTGGGTTTGATCTTGGACTCTCCTTACTCCCTGTGAGGCCTTACACAGCATGCTTTGTCTCTCTGGGTCAAAGTATCTCCATCTGTCAAATGAGAGGGTGGGGTGAGATTTGCAAGGTTCCTTCTAGCTCTAAATCCTCCAATCCTAGCGATGTAAGGAAGTCGGGTTTGGGAGAGGGAGAGAGGAAAGTCGGTACTCTTGGTAGCTGGAAGTAGTGATGGGAAGGGGACATTCTGGGAAGAGAACCAGAGGGTATAAGTTGCCACCAGTTGAAAATAAATTATTGTGTGCCCACAGGGGATACAGGCACCAGATGCTGAGCCCCAGCTGTACAAATTGCCCTCAGAAGCAACAGATAGCCTCATTTTGGTCTTTTATTTCCTCACCTCTCTTTCCTGTGTCCTGTAGAGGCAACCCACTTTTGTAAGAAAGACTCTGGTCTGGATATAGTTGTTATGGTTAATATGATTCTTGCTAGTGTCCCTGTGGTTTTTTTTTTTTAAAAAAAAAAGGAGGGGGGAGGTCTGGCTGATGAGAATTTTTAACAGGGGATTTCCAGGGAAGATGGTTTGTATGAGGGGAAGGAAAACGTTTATCTGCTTGGTTAAGAAATAAACAGTTTCCATCATGAGGTGCCCAGGATGTAGATAGGCCTGGCCTGCCAACCGTTACAGCCCCCAAAATAGTCCTGTGGAAGGGTACCCCTCCCCCAGCTAAGTTAGACATTTGCTGGACCAGCCTGCATCTTCCTGGGCTGTCTGTACCACTCTAGCCCCATGCTTCAATTGCTTTTCCAGGCCTTATATTTCAAGGCAGTTCCCAGGCAGTGTTTCCTTCGTCTGGGGCCAAGGTTAGAGGTTTTGCTTTTAAGCCACACTTTGTCTGCTGACCCAAAAATCTTATGGACACATTCTAAAAAGCTCATCTAATTGACCATCATTGTGCCTGGAACAAAAATCAGACTGCCCTCAAGATCTTTCTTTTTAGCTAAAGTGAAGCAAAACAACAGAACCTCAGTAATCTTTAGCTGTCCTCCTTCTGGTCTCTGCCCTTCTGAAAACACCTCAGTCAGGGAAGAATGAGACTCATCTTCCCAAGTGAGCCAGTTGGATTTTTAGAACTGGAATGACTTTGGAGATTATCTAGTGCAATTTTCTCATTTTACATCAGGAAACCGAGGCCAGAGACTTGTCCAAGGTCACAAACTGGAAGGACCACATTGAAGACTTAAGCCTATATCCCCTAACTCACCATTCAGATGTCCCTGAAAATTTGAAGTACCTACTTTGAAGAAGTCAATAATGTTTATGGTTGTAATGACCCTATCTTTCCCCAGTATCCCTCTCTCTGCTTCTTTATTAGCCAGCCCCTTCTTGCTTGTCCTGACCCCTAAACTTTGAGAAGTCTAAATTATCTAAGTGAAATTCAATTTTAGGAGGCTTTCTGGAAATAAAGGGTGGTGGTGGTTATACCATCTCTCTGCTTTCAGGGGTGAGGAGTCTTTCCTTCCCAAAAGGAGATGAGAAAGGGTAACATCTGCTTACCTTTCCAGAGATAGGAGCAAGCAGTGATAGGAAATGGAAGAAGGGCCAAAGGCTGGAGAGACCAGATATGGAGCATCCAGGTGCTTCCTTTCCTGCTACAACTTGCTCATTGTGGAAGAAAAATACCTCCTGCTGGTAGCCTCTTGGTTGACTAAAAGCCTACCAGTGAATTCAATTAAACAAGAGTTAGTAAGCCAATGAGCTAATCATCCTCTTGTTTTCCCTTCCTCTCTTCCCTTCCATTTAAGGAGAGAGCTCTGGTCAGACTTCTCTTCACTTCTCACCTGGGACTTTTCTGACTTCTCCACCTTCCCCCCAGGTCAGTTGTTGTTCTTCTTTAGTTTTGAAGAGGACCAATGACATCACCAGGATGATGTCTTGACTTGCACCTGAATTGGATCTAAGTGAGGCAGAGTTGTGCAGAGTTGTCAGCCTCACTCTCATTTCCTGAGTCATAGAAGTCCAGTGGCAAGACAGAAGTCAAGACAACTGGAGATGGCCCAGGATGCAGGGGATAACCTCCTTGGCATCTTCAATTTCTGACCAAGCTGTAATCTCCATAGCATCTGTTTCAGGTGCCTTCATGGCCGTTGGAACAACTTATCCTCATCTACTCATTCCAAGGAGGAGAGGAGAGGGGAGTCTTCACAAGTGTGGGGTAGACATCCCCCTAACTCGTGGACAGGTTTGATGCTTATCGGTTACCCTCAACTTGGTTTAGCTCACCTGCCTAGATGGTTTACTGGGGTGTGGTCGCTACCCATGCTACAGCTTCTTGGAGCCACAGGTGAGAATTGAGTGAATCAGGTGGACACCAAAGGTGGAGGAGCAGCTCTGAAAAGGGTTCAGTAAGCCCTCACACCAGAGGTGTTAGTCCTCCTGAACCACCCCAATATGTCCCACATATCTTCTCTTCTTTTACCCCTCCCCACACCCACTTTTCAGCTTTTTGTGTTGTATCTTCTCCCCTTAGATTGTAAGCTCCCTGAGGGCAGGGACTGCCTTTTTTTTTTCCCCTATATTTTTATTCCCATCACTTAGCTCAGTGCCTGGCACATAGCAGACACCTAATAAATGTTTATTGACTATTTACATGGCACTTTAAGGTTCACAAAATACTTTCCTCTCACAACCTTATGAGAAGGAAGTGGTACAAGTGTTTTTAATTCTCATTTCACAGATGAAGAAATGAATACTTAGAGACTTGCCTATGACCACACTGGTACTAAGTGATTGTGAGATTTGAAATGAGGTCTTTTTGAATCCATTTCTCTCCTCTATACCACAGTGACCTCCCAGAAAGGCATCTGCTCCCAGAAAGAATTATTCCCTTGCTCTGGTGGAGAGGAGGAGGAGGAGGAGGCTGTACAAATTCTCAGGCACCAGAATTCTACTTCTTCTGTACAGATATACCCCGAGTCCTTCAGAGTTCCTGGAGAATGTTTCCTGGAAAATGATGAGCCCTAACAGAATAGACTTGAGAAGAAGGGTGGGAAGGATCTGTGCTAAATACTGAGGGCTTTTTCTGCCATAATCTAGGAAACTCCAGTGACCAGAGCAGAGGTACTAACAGGTCCAGGGATTGCCTCCAGGTGGCATTCTTAGGCCTGGATGCCTCTATCCCACAAATGCATGCTTTTGGCCACAGAGACCCAGACCAGCGTAACTCCATCCCCATCACATATACATGATGGACAAGTAAACCTCAACGGCAAACTTTCTACTTGTGCACGAAAGTATTTCTTTCATGTAGTAAGGAAGAAATCCTGTAATTCAAGAAATTTCTAATTTTCTACTTTATCACTGTCTCAGAGCTTTCTTGTTTCTAGTCCTCGAAGGGGACAGAAGGTAAAAGGCAGGTAGGGCCTTTGATTGAGGGGTGGGGTGGGGACAAGAGAAGCCGCCACAGAAATCCCCTTAACTTCTCTCTGCTGGCTCTGAGCTCGGGATAAGATCAGGCACTTGAGAGACCTGCCCCCAGCTTCATCTATCCACAATGATGCACCTAGCTTGCAAGGGCCAGAAAAGAAGAGCATTTCAGAAAGCCTATGCTCTGTGAAGAATTTCCCAGAAAGGCCAAGCAAAATCTTTTAACACTATTCTTTGAGGAATAACGGGGCATGAATAGGCACCTTCCTTGAGGATCAGCTCCCTGGGGACCCAAGGATGGTACTACCATGTCCACATTGATTGATAGATGTCATGGAACAAAAGTCAGACCTCCTTCCATGCTTAGGTTGGAGAGGAGGGTTTATAGGCCTCTAATCTGATCCCCTCTCTTCAGGGATGTGGTGCCCAGTTAGTCCTGGAGCACCTGGGAAGTTGGATTGGTTTGAGAATTCAGACCTCAGAGGAAGTTAGGTCTGATACCAGGTCCACTAGAGTGGCAGCAAGTCCTAGATTGTATCTGGAACCAAACTGGCCCTCAAGGGCTTTGGATAGAAGAAAGGGACCTAAAGCTAGCCCATTTCTACCTCCCAGCTTCATAGTAGCCAATAATAATAGCTAACATTTATATAGTGCTTACCATGTGCCAGGCACTGTGTTAAGTAGTTTACAATTATTTCATTATATCCTTACAACAATCCTGGAAGGTAGGTGCTATTATTATTCCCACTTTACACATGAGGAACCTGAACCGAGGAAACAGAAAGGTTAAGTGATCTACCCCAGGTTAAATAGCTGGGTGTCTAAGGCAGAAGTCAAACTTGGGTCTTCCTAATTCCAAGTCCCACGTTCTACCCACTATACTACCTGGCTGCATCGAAGCCTTTTTCCATCTCTAGGTTTGGACTGAACATCTCTGCATTAAGCCTTAATGATTTTCCCAATTTTTATTTAAGTAATCAACATATATTTGTTTATTCACTTTTATATTTATGCTGTATATATTTATATATGTGCTTGTCTCCTTTATTAAAGTTAAGCTCCAGGGAGTTGGGATTGTTTCATTCTTCGTACTAGTATCCTCGGTGCCTAGCTCAGTGCTCAGCACATAAGAGGCACTTAAATGCTTTATTGCTTTATTGGAGTGGATCTTTTGGGGCTTACAGTTTTTTGGTGGGATTACCCTCAAGAAATTTACCTGGTGAATGGCAGCTACGGATGGTGTCAGAGAGGGAGAAGATACTTCTCCAGACATTTTAAGAGGAACTTATCTTCACTTTCCTCTTTCCCTTCTCTTCCTCACCTCCCCTTCACCCCCAGGATGGTTTCAGGCTGGACGCCACATGTCTTGGGCATTGTGGTCCTAAGATCCAACATGGGGATGCAGGGAGAGAACTGGAGTCTTTTGCCTTCACAGGAAATCTCCAATGCACACAGATTGGTTGATGGAGAGAGGAGGGAAGCATCTCTAGGACTTTGGAAAGCTTTATCAAGATCTCACCTAAAGAGCTTAACATCACTAGCCATCTCAGGGCTGATTGTTATTGTATGTGCTGAGTGCTGCATGGGTGGTTTTGTATAGTACTCCTTTGTGTTACAAAGCTTCCCAAAAGGAGTGGGTGGAGGGGTGGTTGAGGATTATTTTCCAGTGCCGAGGAAGGATAATGAGGAAGAAATAGTTGCCAGGAATTTCCCCAAGCTCCTTTTGTCCTTAGATCTCCAGACCGCAAGGTCTATGATTAGAGGTCCAAAGAAGCATTGCCTCCACGTCATAGAAGAGAAGACTTGGGCATATAAGTAGCTTGCCAGAGGAGGTGGGACTACCTGAGGTTTTTCCTTCAGGCTTGCTGCAGTTGACAACTCAAATCATTGAGCTTGAAGCAGGCTGTGGGCTTGAGAAATAGGCACACAAACATAGGTCCTTGCTGTCCATTTTAGGAAACTGAGGACAAGGGAAGAAGGTAAGATAAAAGCCCTAGTACTTCTGGTCTTATCCTTTCCATCTCAGCTTTCTCTGGCTGCAGGAGGAGGATCACCTCTCCACTCTGGTCCAGGGATTGGGCTTCTAGGTCACCAAAGACCTCCTTTCTGACACCCACAACTCCCCCATTCCTCCATCTGCCAGTCAGCGAGTTAGTGATCTGAGATACCAGGTCATTCTCAGGGACATGAGAGGAGAAGGAAAACTTGGGGCATTGTAGGAGCAATGCCACTTCTAGGGTCAGAGACCCTGGGGACACGGGTGTGATGGAGGTAGAATACAAAATTCTAGGCCTTTAAGGAGAAAGTTCCTCCTCTCTGGCTGGGTTCTGTCTGGGTGCTCTATGACCTATGTCACCTCTTCTATCAGGTCCCAGAAGGTCATGGATTTGGTTCCTCTGGCAGCCGGGCAGCATACTGGGCCAGGGTGTGATGCAGGAACTGGTACTGCTCACTGGTCTGGATCATACCCCCCCTGGAATGAGAAACAACAAAGCTGATGCTGAGAGCAGAGACGATGTCAGGAGGCTTCCAAAAGCTCCAGTTCTCTATCTTTTCCAAACACTGGGAACCTGCTCTGTCCCGTATGGGGTTCTGGTCTAAGACTCAAAGCTGGTTTCTTTGGTTTACAAGTCATAGATTCCCTGAATGAATTTTTTTAACTTAATTTTTCCACTTGTGTCTACTCTTTGTCCTTCAGAACCACCCCTTCTGGGTAGACGTCCCATCTTGCATTACCCAGAGCTCAGAAGGTCACACCCAAAGACCTAGAAGGCCACATGTGGCCTCGAGGCTGCAAGTTCCCCACCCTGGTCTAGTTAACAACAGAGTAGAGAGAAGGCAATGGATGGGAGCAATGTCTAGACTCAAGTAAGCTTGACGAAGCAAGGCAACTGATAAGGAAGTAAGGAAGAAAGAAGAGTCGAGGATGACTCCAGGGTTTTGAACCTGGGTGGCTAGAAGGATGGGGGTGCCCTCGACAGAAATAGCCCCTGGAGAGGGGCAGATTCAGCAGGAAGAGGATAATGAGTACTGTTTTGGACACGTTGACTTTGAGATGCCTATAGGATATTCAGGTGGTGATGTCCAGCAGCACTTGGTGATGCAGCTCTAGAGTTTGGGAGAGAAATCAAGGCTGGATCTATTGATTGGGGAGTCATTTGTATAGAAATAATTATTGAGAGTGACTAAGAAATCTTTTTTTTGTGACTAAGACATCTTGACTATTATAAATACACAAATTAGAAAACCATGGAATGGGGCACATCCAAGATGGCGGAGTAAAAGCAGTGACTTGCTTGAGCTCTCCCCTAAACCCCTCCAAATACCTGTAAAAAAATGGCTCTAAACAAATTCTAGAGCAGCAGAACCCACAAAAAAAAACAGTGAAACAAATTTCCAACATAAGACAACTTGGATGGTTGATTAGAAAGGTCTATTGCACTAAGCTGGGAGAGGAGCACAGTTCAGCATGGGCAGGCAGGCAAAAACCAGGCCTCAGCGAACCTGGAGCAGCCCTCAGGGGGAAAAATAAATACACAA